TTTTGTTTTGGTCCACATTTAACCATTCCACAATCTAAATTAAGTTCCTTAGCCAATATTTATGTACAATAATTTGATCACTTGATTTGACTAAACATTATAATGACCCACTGTATCAATTACATATATTTAATCCCAAAATAGATATAACATATATTCATTTCAAAATAAGTGTTATTTTAAAAATTTTATTCAGAAATTCAATTTGATTACAACGTGATTCGATCAAATAAATATTTTAGTAAAAAGTTATCATATATTTAAAAAACTATAAATAATAAGTATAATTCTAAAACTTATATTGTTTTATTAATTAAAATGATTTTATTTTTGTATAAACTATCCAAATTAAAAAAATTAAGTAGTTGAGTAATTTATTAAACCATAAATAATTGACCACTCCATTTACATTCAAGTTAATATTGACCCATAAGTTATGAATAATTATTTATTTGGCTTTTAAGTTTGGAACCCAAATTTGGAATATACAATAAATTTCCTTATATATTTAATATTTATTTATATATATATTTATAATACCACACAATTTTCTAGATTTGTTGTCGTTTACTTTATCATTCAAATTTGTCAACTATTTCTCTTGAATTAAATTATAAATTTTAAATTTTATTAACCAATATTTGTTCAAAGATCATTTGAATTTCAGGCGGAATCATATCGATTTGCAATTATTATCAATGTCTTACGGCAAGTAATTATGGGAATAAAATAAAATTTGAGAGTCATATCACATTGATTTTATAACAAGTCAACCCAAACTTCAATTTTCATATCCATACCCAATAAAATTCATACCGCTTATTTTGTTTTCGAAATTTTCGAATATACTTCTATCTATACGAAATAAAAGTCATACCATTTAATTTTAAAAAATTTATACCAATGGTAATAATGGCATTGGACTATCCATTGACATTGTTATTGGAATTCTATAGGAATATATTTTAGCTGGAATTTCATAATTTCTTGTATTGTTGTTATTTTTGAATCAATATTGGTAGTTATAAGCTTAAGTCTTATTATAGCGTTACAATAATTATTTATTTACTATTTATATGTACAATAGGGATATATTAGATATAAAAAATGATCAATACAGTACATTATATAAAAACAAAAAAGAAATATTAAACGATTAAGTCTCATAGAAAAACAAAACAATATTGGTATTTAATAAGAGAAAGAAAAAGAAAAAAGAACAAAATGGATTTCAAATAAAAAAAAAATAATTCAAAAAAAAATTGAAAGCTATATGCGTATGGAAATGCAAACCTTAATTAGGCAAATGTACATATGATTTATTTTCACTTATTTATTACAAATCCCTTTATAATGTATCGAAAAAAAAAATTAGAATGTATCCAGAAAAGGATAATGTATCCAAAAATTTATAATGTATCCTAATTAGGCAAAGATAGAATGTATCTAAAAAAAATATTTGTGTGATTGTTTCCTTTAAATGTTTTGATTTAATTTATTTTCAAAAAATTTCAAAACACATTTAGGGGGATACTTTGAGTTTTTTCAAAAAATTACTTATTTTAATAATTCTGAAATTTTAGGCCGGATTTTAGTTACTATTTCATGTAAATACCAAACCTTTATATATATATATATATATAGATATTGAGTATAGTTGAGATGAATTAAATTTGAGTTAAAAAGTTTGCAAAAAAAATAAAAATAAAAAAATTCTGGTGAGAGAAACAAGATAATTTTATATCCAATCACACCCTAAAAATTTCGGTTAATTGGAATTTGTTTTTATGCAGGGCCTATGGATTGGGATGCTTTGTGGTGTTATCATTGAGACCTTTGCGCTCAGCTTCTTAATGTGGAGAACTAACTGGGATGATGAGGTAATAATTCTTCTTCTTTCCCTTGTAATAAATAAAATAATATGAAAACTTTTTTTTAGGGGAATTTGAACAAATAAAGTTTTGCTGTTAGGCTTGTTGAACTGTTCGACAGTCATACTTTTTTTTAACTAAAATGTCATACTATAAAAAACATCAATATTTTACGATATACGTACGCGTTTTCTTTGTATGTTATAGTTCGGATTGTTGACAAGACATTTGTAATATATTGTGCAGGTTGTAAAAGCTTCTACTCGCCTCAAAAAGTGGTACCTAAAATCTCCTGATGAGGCCAACACAAAACCTGATTTGGCCTGATTTTGAAGAAATTTGGGACTTTGATACAATTTTTTTGAGATATTCTAATTATTATTGTAATAATGGCATAATTAGGAGCTCAAGGGCTGTTTTATTGGGTTTTCTGATGATATTTTGTGATGAAAACTATATATTATTTTGCGGATTTAGACAGTCACTTTGAGTTCGAAAAGGTCCACATTTAGTTCATTACTTTCTCTCCTACTAGGGCATATAAATTAAGTAATAATTCAAAATTTTATACTTAAAAAAGAGTTTTATTTAATTTCTAAATACTCATTAAAAAGTTGCATTTTATTTAATTGAAACTAGTACAGAGCCCGTGCGATGCACGAGGTGCATAATTTGAAGATCATTTATCCATTCTTATAATTATATAAATGAATAAAAAAAAAAATGTACGGGATATATATAGTACGTGACATGTAATAGGCCGAAATGTGAACACGGGTGATGCACGAGGTGTACAATTTTAAGGTCATTTATTAGTACAGAGCCCGTGCGATGCACGGGGTGCACAATTTTCTAGTATGTGTAATAAAAATACATACTGTATGCACGTGACAGAAGCACTAAATGAGTCATTTCCACAGAGCTTGCCCGTTAAGTAGCTCCTGAACACAGGTGCACAATTTGTAGTACGTACCATAAAATTAGAACAAATTTCCATACAATTAAATAATAAATAAAGCTTTTTTATTTTAGTAAATATTTTATGTACTTTGTTTTTTTACTTATCGGATGTTATGGGATTTTTTTTGTTAAACCGATTTTATGGAATATAATACAAATACAATTAGAGGATTGAACAAAATCAGAACAAATTTTCATACAATTAGATAATAATAAAAAATAGATAAGGAAAATAAGGAATTAGATAAGAAAAAGAAGAAATTAGATAAGGAATTTTAAATTTGACTTTTTTTTTTGATAGATAGACTTTACGTACAAATTTTGACTTCACTTATTTATATGAGATTTATTTTGACAAAATCAATGTTAATATGTAATAAGACAAATAAATAAAGTCTTTTTTTTAGTAAATATTTTACGTCTTTTTTTTTTACTTGTCAGATGTTATGAGATTTTTTTTCTTAAACTGATTTTATGGGATATAAGACAAATAAATAAAATAATTAAATAAAATTCTGGATAGAAATAGCAATGCATTAATTACGTTGACTTTTTAATCTACTAAATTTGGTTAATAGGATACCTTATATAATAAATATAGATACAACTAAATAACATGCCAACATTTTAAAGAATAATTAATGTATTTTAATTTATTATCTAGCCATCAGTAATATCATTTAATGATGTGATTATTATCTCTTAAATGATAAAAAATTATTAATTTAAAAAAAAATATTTATTTTTTATATACACAAATAAAAATTAAAAAATACTATCGACAAAGATGAATTATAATATATATCAGTAAAATCATTACAGAAGTTAAAAAAATTATTTAAGAAAATAATCTTTTTGATCATATTTGAATAGAAAATGTATATATGCAAGCAATTAATGCATATAGTAAAAATTTCTAAATAAAGTATGCATTAAATGTGAGTTGACTTTTCTTGCTACTATTTTTGGTAAATAGTATGGCTTTTAATATAAGTATAGATTGACACTCATCACTCATTCTATATTATATCAAGGATAAAAGCATATCATATAATAGGATTGATTGATATATAATTTTATTTAATTTATAATTAATGATTTTGTTACTTCTCCAATTTTAATCTTAGATGATTTAATTTTTATTTTCAAAGCTAGATATGATTTGTTAATTTATGCAATATGAATTTTACATCACACAAGATAACTAATTTTAATAAAAAATATTAAAGTATGTACAAACAGTATGATGATATTATTAAAACTAGTATAACTCTCGTATATCGGGTGTTTGCTAATTTTTTTTCTCAAAATCTAAAATTAATGAGAAAAAGTAGTTGAAAATTTAAATATCTTTTTATAAAAATATATATTATTATATATTTAGTATGATATTTTTTATTTGTGCGACTTACATGTGTTATATATAATATTTTTTTTAACTTACAACATTATAACTACATTAAATATAAATATATAAATTGAGAAATAATTTTATTTTTGAATGGATTTTAATAAATATTATTATTTTTTATTATTATAAAGATAAATATAATTTATTTATTTCATATATACAATATGGATGTCAAATCGAAGATTATAAAAAAATGATTAATTTGACACTATATTATATATATATATATAACCGATAAGAAATACAAAAGTTATAACTTTTAAAATACATTTACAATTCAATAGCTAATGGAAGGAAGAAAATCAAAAGTCAGGAATATATTAGTCACTTAGTGTCTCACTATCTAAAATTACAATAAAAGGTTATATTAGTACAAGTGATATTAAAATACCTAACTTAGTTAAATAATATTTATGGAATTTCGGAACCTAGATATTAATTATTAATATATCAATATTATTTGTCCAAACCTAATTATGAAGCATGATTCTTCGCCAAGTAAGATTCCGAAGCCAGCCACGTAGATTTTATAAAGTAAATTAAAATAAAATTCAGCGTAAATATATTTATTTGTTCCAATAAATTTACACATATTAACACTGATATTTTAGATCCGATTATCCGAACACTGAGAATATCAGTTCCAAATATGGAAATCTCTCCGCCCCTCCGTCGTCCAATTTCGTCGCCGGCCACCGGCGCGCTCGACTGAACGAACCGGCGCCTCTCGTTGGCCGATCCTTGGAGGCCCCATCAGCAATTCCGGTAACGATATGTAGTAATCTGTCGCTGGAATCCAATTTAGGAAGAACATTTTGAAACTCATCTTGTCGATTTGATTACCTTCCTAGCTGTCTGTGTTTGTGGATTGTGATCTAGTTTCTCTCAAGAAATTAGCTCCATTATAGTTGAGCTGATCGTGTTTGGTTTTCTTCCCCTTTCTCTGTGTACGTGATTGATTCGCTACATTCAGGTTTCTTTTGGCTGTTACCTTTGCTTAATGTTGTCATGTTCATGGCTCAGCTTCCTTTCCTCTTCTTTGATGGCTCCTCACCCTTTTCTTACTGCTCTAATTTGAAGTGCCAATTGAAGCTGCCTCAAATTTCATCTGCTCATATGATTTACTGATAATAGCGATAAGCAATCTCAGAAATCCACTGGTAGTTCACTGATCATATGTTGGGTATTTTGGATGTCTTGAATAGAATGTGTGTGTGTGTATTGTATGCGGTTGCGGCTTGCCTTAATTTTGGCTTATCAATTGTGTTTAAGTACATCTATGTGTTAGACCCTTGGAACAAAGAGGTTGTGTTGATCTCTTAGCCTATTTGCTTAATGTGCGTAGGTTAAGAAGTTTGTGGATGACAGTACCCTTTCCCCTCTAAACATCAGTTTAAAACAGGATAAGTTTCGTTGTTCTCGGCATCTAAAACCAGAGATAAAATGAGCGATCGAGAAAGGCTTAGAATATTGATGGTGTCCGACTTTTTCTTCCCTAATTTTGGTGGCGTGGAGAATCACATCTATTACCTATCACAATGCTTGATGAAACTTGGCCACAAGGTTAGACAGTTAACACAAGTAAATTTTTCAAAATTTTAATGTTTTTTTTGTTGTCAATCCGCTTGAAATAAGTGTTTTATTTGGTTTCTAAACTTATTATAGGTTGTTGTCATGACACACGCTTACAATAATCGTTCGGGGGTCAGGTACATGACCGGTGGCTTGAAAGTCTACTACGTACCATGGAAACCATTTCTCATGCAGAACACGCTGCCCACATTTTATGGGACACTTCCAATCGTGAGAACAATCATAATTCGAGAAAGGATATCATTGGTGCACGGGCATCAAGCCTTTTCAACTTTATGCCATGAAGCCTTAATGCATGCGCGCACAATGGGATTCAAAGTCGTGTTTACCGATCATTCCCTTTATGGTTTTGCTGATGTGGGAAGTATTCACATGAACAAAGTCCTGCAGTTTACGCTGGCAGACGTGACTCAGGCCATATGCGTATCGCATATGAGCAAGGAAAATACGGTTCTTAGGTCTGGACTTCCGCCTGAGAAAGTTTTTGTTATTCCGAATGCTGTGGACACAGCCATGTTCAAGCCTGCTCGAGAGAGAATTAGTGCTGATGAGGTCGTAATAATTGTGATAAGTCGATTGGTTTACCGTAAAGGGGTGGATCTTCTTGTTGAGGTCATCCCTGAAGTGTGTCGATTGCATCCAAATGTAAGCATCTTATTTACATTTTCTCTGGGCACTTTAAGAACTGTGCTAGTGAAGTGGGACCTGAGTTTTAGATTGTTGATTTCTGTATGAACTCATTTTATTTTTTTGTCTCATGTTGATGGGCTTTTTCTATTTAAGGTACGGTTTATTATTGGTGGAGATGGGCCTAAGAAAGTGCGGTTGGATGAGATGAGGGAAAAGCATTCTCTTCAAGACAAAGTTGATATGTTGGGTGCTGTGCCCCATGCTGAAGTTCAGTCGGTTTTGGTGAAGGGACACATATTCTTGAACAGGTTTTTGAAAGTTTTCTATAGCTAATATGGTTTAATTTATTCAAATCCTGTTTTAGACGTCTAGAAATCTGTTTCATACCTTAACCTATTCATTCATGCACCGAGCATACTTTGTTTGATTGTTTGTAGAAGGGGCCAACAAATTTATCATGAATGATCATCCTTTTGAAATCTTGAGTTTAAAATCTAGTCATCCTATAGACATTTTATCTAAACCTTTTTCCACCCATTTCTTGTGATGGCTTTGTGAAATCCTTCACAGTGAAAGATACAAAATTAGGAAATCACAACGAAGTAGTTTAGGCGAAAATAGAATGAAAATAAACTGATATCATCTCTTTTTCAGCGTATGAGAAGAAGCTTACAGATTACAACTTCTTAAAAAAGACCACTGACTTTCTGTCTTTACAGTTCCTTAACAGAAGCATTCTGTATAGCCATATTGGAAGCTGCTAGTTGTGGGTTATTAACCGTCAGCACCCGTGTTGGTGGTGTTCCTGAGGTATGGCCATATGATTATTTTCACTTTGTCAACATTTCTATACAAATGTGTAGTTATGCCATGGTTCATGAAAAGCCAACATTTATCTTGATAGGTTCTTCCAGATGATATGATTGTCCTTTCAGAGCCGGATCCTAATGACATGGTGCTGGCAATAATGAAAGCAATACACTTGCTTCCCCAGATTGATCCTCAGGCAATGCACGATCGTGTGAGTTTTTTTTACACCTATCACAAGAAAAATACTCGAGCTCCAGTTTTTTTCGTGTTTCTCTATAGAATCAGCACCACATTAATTATTAAACCCAAATTATCAGAAATATCTTCAACCAGGTACAAGGAGACGTGAAATTGTCTTTGCTACATAAAAGTTCATATTGACATCTTTATCATACTAAAGGGGTGGTTTTATATGCTCGTGCAGCATTTTGTACACATTTCTGGATTTATTAAGCATAGACACCTGTCCAAGGTTATTGTTGCATATGCATACACAGCTTTATCACAACAACAACAAATACAACATACCCAGTATATTCCCAACTTTATCAGTTTTTATAATTGCTTGTGTTATTAATCTTGAATAACAAGGGTAAAACAATTTGCTCAAATCTTGCAATTGTTGACTATAGAGATCTCAAACACATTGTTCTGACGGATGACAGTGGTATGAATATTTGAACATATTATTATTGTTGTTGTTGAATGTGCTTTAAGGTATACCAATTCTGTTGACTTATTGGGAGGTTTAAATTAAGATTGTCGTCATAATGTGGACTGTGAAAGATTTAGTTCCATTATATTCCATGTCCCATATGGTTATAATAGGTATACGTTTATTGCAAAGCCTGCCACTAAACATAACATATGCTTTTGAAAAACGATACAACCTTATTTAGTTCTTAATTCATCCACAGATGAAAAAACTTTATAGTTGGCATGATGTGGCCAAGAGGACAGAGATTGTGTATAACCGTGCTTTGAAGTGTTCCAATCAGACTCTTGTTGAACGTCTGCCCAGGTACATTTATGGAGACATGTCATCTGAAAGTTTATTAAGCATGCAAATATGGTCAAGCATTTGAACAGGGATATGTATGTATTTGATGTTAGACATGGGAATATAATGATTCATATTAATTTTTGCTGTACCGGTGTGATGCTGGTTTTCTGTATTCACCTTTTT